CGTGCCAGCTGGGCTACTGGATGTCTAAATGTTTATTCAAATGTTATTTTGGATGTTTCTGTGAGGATGTTTTTGTATGAGATCAACATTTGAATCTGTACGTTGAGTAAAACAGCTTGTTCTCCCTTATGTGGTGGGCCTCATCCAATCAGAGGAGGCCTAACAGAACAGCAAATCCACACTTCCCTGAGTAGGAGAAAGCTCATTGTGGAGTAGGAAAGAGCTCTTCCTGCTTGCACTATGACTTTGGTTTTTTTCCTACCTTTAGACTCAAACTGAAATGTCCTCTGTACCCGGGTCTTGAGCTGCCAGCCCTCACCATGGTTCCCTGCATCTCCTTTTTGCTCACTACCCTGTAGATCTTGAGACTTACCAGCCTCCATAAACATGTGAGCCGATGACTTATAATAAATGGTGTGTGTCTGTCTGTCTGTCTGCTTCTCTGGGCAATCCTGATTAATACAGTGGCCTATACTTAGTGACTCACTTCCAAAGAATAGTATAGGAAAAGAGAAAAATAGTAACTCCATAGTGGAGAAACCTGTTACAAGGTGGTGCTCAGTTCAGAGCTTGGCATTCTGTGACTTCCGCACCACAGCACAGCAAGAATCTTATACACTCCTGTTTATAAGAGCAGCCTTTCTCTTTTTAAGAATATTCTGGGATACATCAAAAAGGCTAAAATATGAGATTAAAAACAAAAAGCTTTGTTTTGCATGTATCCTGGCAGCTTTGGGAGAACTTATTTTTCTGGACATATTTGGAAATGGATCCTAGTTTTTGTTTCTTATCCTGATCCTCCAGGCTTTTGAGGGGATTCTTTAAGAGATTATCATTGAGATTCAGAAAAACATAATCCAGGTGATAAAGGTTCATGTCACCAGTGATGTTATATAGATATCAGATGCATTAATCCTGAAGATTGCATTTTACTTCTGTGGTCTTCTCCCAAACTCAGTCTCAGTGTAATCATGAGAACATCAAACAAAATAATCTGATGATCTGTGGGAGATAATCTACAAAATATGGTCAAGGTCATAAAAATAAGAAAAGCTTGAGACTGTCACAGACCAAAAAAGATGAAAAAGTGGCAAGTAACTATAATGTCTGTAGTGGATCTTGGGTTGGGATCCTGAAGCAGAAAGAGGACATTAATAGAAAAACTGGTGGAATCCAGATAAAGTGTGGCATTTCCTTAATACGATGTTGCTTTCTTAGTTTTGACAAAAGTTGCATGGAAACTTGCACATCCGATAATGGAGGGATGGGATAAGGGAGATGGAGGAATTCTCTATACTGTGTTGGCAACATTTATATAAACCTCAAATTATTTCAAAATAAAAGGTAACTTTAAAAAAGGAATCAAACATAAACTTCAAATTTATTGAATAGTGCATACCTCCATAAAAAGGAATTCATTTCCACCTTCACATGAGACTTGGAGTTGGAAAAAAAAAGAAACAAAAATAAAATAAAATAAACAAGCTCTGAAGCTGCTCCTCTGTCTCTGGGATCCCAGACACTCTTTCTGCTTCTTTCCACACCACAGCTCCACTTTCCTTGCTAAAGACCAACTTCCTTAGTCAAGTTCTTTAGTTACATTGCCCAAGACAGATGCCTGTAAATGGCTCCCTTGTCTCACATTACTTTCAAATCCAGGTCTATATGATCTCTCATTTCTAGTTCCTTCTGCCATCTAACTGCATTTCTGCATCTTTAGTGCAAAGTCTTGAGAAAGCAAATTGACTTCATTGAGCAACATCAACAGACAGTTTCCCATTGATTTTAATGGTCATTCCTGTTTCAATCAAACGGATTCTTTTGGTACAAATATGACTGCATAGTCCACCATAATCCTTGATTTCTGGAGGCTATGTATAAAGGAGTAATTCCAAAGAAATGATTACCCCAGCATTTGTCTATGATGTTACTTCTGTTTAATGGTATCTAAAGCATTGTAAACCCAAATTATTTTTAAAGGCTTTGTTGGTTATGGTAAGAAATACTGAGGCAGAAGAAAAGGTTAAAATGAATGGGCAGGAAAGTTGGACTCCTTCAAGGTCAGGTTTCTATTCAGCAGGGCACAAGTCAGGCCTCATCAAGGTCAGGGTGATTCCTGTGTAAGCAGAATACACTGATAGGGAAACATCTGCTGTCTTATACTTGGAACCCAAGCAAAGAAAAAGGGGGCACAGCAACCTGTTTGGTCCAAAGAACCCTTGAAAAGCTTGGGAACACTGAGTGCCTTACCCAGGATTGGGTCAGGGGTTAGCTCCTTTAACCCTAGATCCATAGAAACTCCTAGATAATAGCCACTCTTGGGACCCCTCGCCTTTAGGATCTTTGCTCTATTTCTTTCTATTACTCTAATAACTCCTGCTACTTTGCTCTCAACTTTGTGTCTGTGGATTTCATTCCTCTAATTCATAAGCAAAGAACTCAATCCCACACTTCGTGCTATAATACTTGGAACTGAATGAAGGAGAGAAAAAAAAATCTTATCACATATTGTCTTTCTCAGAGGGTTGAAAAAAATCTCTGGAGAACTTAAAGGGCTTAGAAGAGAAAAATCTGTATTATTTGGGTTATATCTAAGGTGATAGAATTATACAAGGTTTTTCATTAACTTATCAAAAGTAATTAATGTCTCCTGACTCTGAGTTGTTCTTGTTGCTAAGAGAACACATTTTGCAAGGACATAAGAAGATATACTGATCTTATAAAGTTCTAAAGATAATAAAATCTTTGAATTTTCTCCCATTTGTGTATATTATTCTTTGTGAGAGAATCAAACCCTCACACCCGCACTGAAATAAAAAACCCACTTCTTCATCTAGGCCTTCAGTACTTTGCATTATTACAATTTTCTTCCTTATACTAAGCGGCAATCTCTTCTCCTGATATAGACACTGACTGGTGCTAGTTTTGTCCTCCAGATTTAAACAGAGAATATCTATATGACCATCCAGTAGCCTCCCAGATACCTATGTGCATAAGGAATTATATTGCAACATTATTTGTAAAAAGAAACAAGAGCCTAGATACTCACCAACTAAGATATTGTTGTTCCATCTATAAAAGGGTGTTTGTATTAATGAGTTCTGGGGCTCAACAAATACATTTTCTCTCATACTTACCACACTCCTTTGCAGTTAGATTGGGACCTGGTGATTAGTTTAGGCCAAGGCATAGTGAGAAAAATAACCATTGTTAATTCTGGATCAAGATAGTTAAAAACTAATCAGCCTCTTCCATCATTTTCCTTTCCCTTCATCAATGACCATCAGGTCATGTGTCAAAATAAAGCATTTACAAAATCCCTCAGTCACCACAAGAGGGATTTTTGTGAGTAATTTTTTTGTTTATTTTTCTAGGGTGGTAATGATGGAGCTGGAGATATGCCCACACATTTGAAATCTACTTAAGAGATAGAAATTGGAAGGACTGAGTAATTGAATGGATTGTGTGATTAGAGGGAAACCCATAGATTTAAATTTATAAAACAGAAAAAAAGTTTTTGCCTCCTACCTAATAAAAAGAACAATTAAAACCACACACACACACACACACACAAAGGAAAGATATACTAAAGACAAAAAAAAAACAAAATGGAAAAATCAATGAAATAACAACAAATTAGGAAAAATGCCTATTTGAAAAATAATAATAAAATTTATGAAACTCTTGCTAGGTTCTTGAAAGAAGAAAGAGAGAACACATACAGTAGTATCGGAAAGAAAACCAGGAATATCACCACAGCCCTACATACATTAAAAAGATAATAAGGGAGAATTTTACAAAACATTGAGCAATAAAGAACTTAGAAAACATAGACAAATTCCTTGAAAAACGTGTACTACTAAAACTACTATAAGAAGAAACAGAAAAATCTGAATAGGCATAACTCTATTAGAGAAATTAATTATAATTAAAAATCTTTCCACAGAGAAAATACCAAGCTGTGGGGGCTTCACTAGTGAGGTAATAGTACCCATCCTATCTAAGGTCATTCAGAATATATAGGAGGGAACAGTTCTCAACTCATCTTTTAAGGCCAGTATTACCCTGAAACCAAAATCAAAAGTATTAAAAGAAATACTAATATGCTTTTTGAACATAAATGTAAAATTCTTTCATAAAGAAATAGCAATCTGAATTCAACAATAGGTCTGGAAAGACATTGACATGTGCTGTCAACTCTCCTACTTGAACTTGTGCTGGAGATCCTGACCTAACAACCTGAAAAGCAAAAAAAACAAAACTACACAAAAAGAAGATTAAAGAAACTGTCTTTTACTAAATAACATGATTGCCTATATGGAAAATCTAAATAAGTTTGCCAAAAAAAAAAAATTAAGTAAGCTTAGTGATATCACAAAATGAATGTGTCAATTGCTACGTACAAGTAATAACAAATGTGGAACTTGAAACTTTAAAATAATATTTACAATAGCATTAAATATGTGAAATACTTAAGAATTTATCTCACAAAGATTGTGAAAGACTCATGCAAAGACTAGAAAATGATATTCAGAAAAATTAAAGCAAATCTAATTAAATCTAGAAATATGTCATGTTCACAGTTTGGAAAACATGATATTGTCGGCAAATCTCCCCAAATCGGTCTGCAGATTCAGTATAATTCTAATCCAAATTTTATAGAAATGCAGAGAAAGGCGAATACTGTTTGGGAAAACAAAACAAAATTGTAATTTAATGTTATATGATATCAGGACATACTATAAAGCTAGAGTATTGAAGATGCTGTAGTATTGGCATAAGAATAGACATACAGATCAAAGGAAGAGTGTGAAGTGTAAAAATCAACCTACTCGTATATAAACCAATTAATTTTGACAAAGTTCCCAAGATGATTCTATGCAGAAAAGATATTTTTTCCACATGGCATTGGAACAATTGGATGTGGATACATGGAAAATATACCACCCTTAACCTTTACTCTACAGGTCCTGTAAAAAAAAAAAAAAAAATTTCAAATGGTGCTTGCTTCCTCAGCACATATACTAAAATTGGAACGACACAGAGATTAGCATAGCCCCTGTGCAAGGATGACACACAAATACATGAAATGTTCCATATTTCTGCCATGAGGGAAGAAAATATTAGAAGATGGAAAAATCTCCCATGCTCTTGGATGGGCAAAATTAATATTGTCAAAATGGCCATACTACCCAAAGTGCTAAACAGATTCAATGTGATTCCAATTAAAACCCCGATGTCATTCCTTGTAGAAATAGAAAAATCAACCATGAAATTTATTTGGAAAAATAAGAGACCCAGAATAGCCAAAGCAATCGTTAGCAATAAGAGTGAAGCAGGAGGAATCACAATACCAGACCTTAAACCATACTACCAAGCTATAGTAACAAAAATGGCATGGTATTGGCATAAAAATAGACATGTAGACCAATGGTACAGAATAGAAGACACAGAGACAAACCCACATAAATACAGTTATCTCATACTGATACTGATGGTTACCAGTTATATTGATGAAGTCCTACTTCCCCAAATAACACCAGAGAAGCACGCCAAGGCAAGGGTAGAGTAGAAAGTAAGAAGCTTTATTTAAAGGATAGTTGAACGGACTTCTTCCAGAGGAAGAAGAGGATCCAAAAGATGCAATCTGTGGGATGAGGAAGTCCCATCTCTTTTATACATCTAAAGTTTTCTTTATTCTTCTACACTATTCCTTCTTATCTTGTTCATTTCCCTTCATCCCATATATGTGACTAAGAGATTCCCGTGGGAAAGCCAAAAGGTGGTAAACAGGCAGGCTGAAGGGGCTGGGGAGGTGTGATCTAGGCAGAAAGGGGGGCCTGGGGTGAATTAATTAGCAGTTCCCTGTCTGCTCAATATGCCAGGCTTTGGGGGATATTAACTTTTCAATCTCCCACAGTGGAGTCTTCAACCTTTTGGACCCAAACCAGTTTGGGTCTGTTTTTCTCAACTTGGCTCCATTTATGTATCTACACTAAATACCTATTTTTAATTCTGGCTTCAATACTAGACAAAGGAGCCAAAAACATATATTGGGGAAAAGATAGCCTCTTCAACAAATGGTGCTGGGAAAACCAGAAATCCATATGCAGCAAAATGAAATTAAACCCCTATCTCTCACCATGCACAAAACTCAACTCAAAGTGGATCAAGGACCTAGGAATTAGATCAGAGACCCTGTGCCTAGTAGAAGAAAAAGTAGGCCCAGATCTTTATCATGTCAGATTAGGCCCTGACTTCCTTAACAAGATTCCTAAAGCACAAGAAATAAAACCCAGGATCAATAAATGGAATGGATTCAAACTAAAATGCTTCTTCTCAGCAAAAGAAACAATCAATCAGGTGAAGAGAGACCACACATTTTGGGAACAAATTTTTGCCACATGCATGTCAGATAGAGCACTAATCTCCAGGATATATAAAGAACTCAAAGAACTTAAGACCAAAAACACAAACAATCCAATCAAAAAATCGTCTAAGGAGCTGAACAGACACTTCTCAGAAGAAGATATATAATCATATAATCGATCAACAGATATATGAAAAAATGTTCAATGTCTCTATTAATTACAGAAATGCAAATCAAAACTATTCTAAGATTTTTCTCAGTTGTTCTCATGCCAGTCAGAATGGCAGTTATTAAGAATACAGAAAACAGTAAGTTTGGCGAGGATGTGGAGGAAAAGGCACACTCATACATTGCTGGTGGAATGGCAAATTGGTGCTACCAACCTGGAAAGCTATAGGGAGATTCCTTGAAAAACTTGGAATGGAATCACCAATTGACCCAGCTATCCCACTCCTCAGTCTATACCCAAAGAACTTAAAATTAGCATACTATAGTAGCATAGCCACATCAATGTTTATAGCAGCTCAATTCACAATAGCTAAACTGTGGAACCAACAAAAATGCCCTTCAACTGATGAATAGATAAAGAAACTGTGGTATGTATACACAATAGAATATTACTCAGCATTAAAAGAGAATAGAATTATGACATTTGCAGGTAAATAGATGGAGTTAGAGATTATCATGCTAAGTGAAGTAAGCCAATCCCAAAAAACCAAAGGCCGAATGTTCTTTCTGATAAGTGGATGCTGATCCATGTGGGGGAAGTAATGGGAAAAATGGAGGAACTTCGATTGGACAAAGGGGCAGGAGAGATGAGGTGGGGGCATGGGGTCAGGAAAGATGGTAGAATGATATAGACATCATTACCCTGAGTACATGTATAACTGCACATATGGTATGATGCTACATCGTGTACAATCAGAGAAATAAAAAGTTGTGCCACAGTTGTGTACAATGAATCCAAATGCATTCTGCTGTCATATATACCTAACTAAAATAAATAAATAAATTTTAAAATATAACTCAAAATGGATCATAGGCTATAGATAAAAGCAAACTTATGACTCTAAGTAAAAATAGAATATTGTTTTACCTTTGGTTAAGCATATATTCTTAGATATACCACAAAGATCACAAAAGAAAAAGATAATTTTAAAATTGATGAAATGGGTTTTATCAAAATTATAAATATTTGCTCTTTGAGAGATGTTAAGAAAAGAGGGAATTCACTAACTGGGGGAAGTGTTTGAAAAGCATATATCTCATAAATGGTCTATATTCAGGATGTGTAAAGAACGAATTCAATAAGAAAAAAACATTCCAATTAAGAATATAAGCAATTGGGGCTGGGGATGTGGCTCAAGTGGTAGTGTGCTCGCCTGCCATGCGTGGGGCGCTGGGTTCGATCCTCAGCACCATATAAAAATAAAATAAAGATGTTGTGTCCACTGAAAACTAAAAAAAAATAAATATTAAAAAATTCTCTCTCTCTCTTAAAAAAAAAAGAATACAAGTAATATTGCCACATACCTTTAAAGCAGCTACATTTTTTTAAGTGACAATACCAAATACTGGCAAGAATGTAGAGAAACTGAATTTCTTCTAAATTTCTCATGGGAAGGTAAACTGGTACAGCTATTCTGAAAAATAGTTTGGCAATTTCATATGATGTCAAACATACACTTAGCATATAACCCAGCTGTCATACTGTTGGGCATTTTTCCAAAATAAATGAAAACCTACATTCCCTTAACAACCCACCCATGTATATTCACATCCGCTTTATTAACAGCCAAGCTCTAGAAACACCCCAAATGTCCTTCAATGGAAGAAGGTTACAATTGTGGCACATTGTCAGCAATAGAGAAGAGCTCTTCATAGACAAAACTTGAGTGAATCTCAAGGGAACTGGGCTAAGTAAAAATCCATTCTCAAAAGGCTGTATATTACATCATTCCATTTGCATAGTATTCTCAAAACAATAAAACTATATATAGAGAGAGAAAAGATTACTGGTTGCTAGAAGAATAGGGTCAAAGGACAAGGTGGGATGAGTAATACAATAAGGAGGAGTTCTTTTTTGATAACAGAATACTTTGGTATCTTATGGAGGGCACACAAATTAATACATGGGATAAAATTACATGAAACAATATACACATTTACAAACACCCACATATACAAAATGAATCCTGATTCTGTCAAAAGTGAAAACTGAATGAAGTCTGTTAATAGTAACATCAATAAAAATGTCCTGGTTTTGATACTGCACTTCAATATATAATATGTCATCTTCAGAAAGTTAGGAGAAGATATATGGGTCCCTTTGTACTTTTGTCTAATTTACCATGAGTCTATAATTATTTAAAAATAATAAGGCATTATAAAAGGCTAACAAAGGACCTGAAAACACTTCTTCAAATAATACATACAAATAACAGATAAGCACCTTACAAAATGCCAAATGTCATTACTCATTAGGGAAATGCAAATTAAGCCGCAATGAGATACTGCTTCTATATGCATTAGGATGGCTAAAATTAAAAAAAGAATATCAAGTGTTGACAAGGATATGGAAGTAGCTGAGTATCTCACACATTGCTGGAGGTACAGTCACTTTAGGAAACAATTTGGCAGTTTCTTTAAAGTTAGAGAAACATGCTCTTACCATATGACCTAGTAATGCAACTCCTAGGTTCTTATTCTAGAAAAATAAAAACATATGTCCACATCAAGTCTTGTATGTGATGAGAACATAGCAGCTTTATTTCCAAAAGTTACAAACTGGAAACAATTCAATATACATCAACAGAGAATGATCAACAATCATGACACACCCATTCCACAAAATAACTCAGCAGTAAAATGAGTGAATCTTAAAAACATTATGCTGAAAAAAAAATTATGGTGGATGAGCAAAATAATTCAAACACAGAAGAACACAGACTGCATGCTTCTACCTATGGGGGAAAAATGGGAAAATCAAGTTTAACCTATAGCAATAAAAATTGGTGCTTGCCTAGGACCAGGGGTTGGAGGAGCAGGAGAGATATGGGAAGGAGAACAGAAGAAATTCATGGGTGACGGAAATGTTCTGTATCTTGGTTGTGTCAGTGGTGACACAGGTATAGGCATCCACAACTCACTGTACTATACATGTAAAATTTAGACATTTTAGTTTTACATATTATGTTTTAAGAAGATGGATTTAAAAGGATATAGAATATATTCTTTTAAAGGATATAGAATATATTCTTTTAAATCATGGTATAGAATATACCATGGATTTGTATGATTGAATGGAAAGAGGTAGGTCAAAGAAGACAATGATCTTAAGTCTAAGTGACTAGTAGAATGATACTGTAGACAGATGTGTATCTTTCAGGAATCCCAAATTCAATATGACCCAAATCTAAAAAAAAAAATCTATTTTCACCACTATCCTCCAAGTTGTTTTTCCTTGAGTATCTCCTATTTTAGTGAATGGTATCCTTCGATATTCAAGCAGAAAAATAGAGGATGCTCACATTTCCCCCTCACTCTCAAATCTAATTAGTTACTCAGTCCCCTTCACTCTCATCTTCTGAACACGCTTCTCTCCACCTCCGTCATGACCAGTAATTCAAGGCTTTCTCACCTTTCACCTGCAGACAATAATAGCCTCACCAATCAGTCTTTTGCATCTGTTCTTATCCCTAGTATTGTCTAGACTCTGCAAATGACAGAAATTC